CCCCAAAACCCCAAAACCCCAAAACCCCAAAACCCCAGCACAAAATAATAATTTAAATAAATGTCTGACTCAGAGGAAGAAAAGAAGGACAAAGGTTCTGATATGAAATTTGACGAACTAATGAAAGCAGCTGTTAGTATCAAAACCAACCAGCTTGCTCAAAAGAAGAAGTTCTTTGAGTCCCTGCCTACTTTCCTCCAAGCTGGGGTGTATTACACAAAGAAGCAGCTTAATTTGAGAAAGCAAAAATATCATCTAAAATTATTCGTCTTTGAAATTCTTAAAAGTGAAGCCAAGAAAGCTTTCTCAGTTGAAGACTTTAACAGAGCCTGTAGGAAATATGAAGAAGCCTTATGCATCTGGAGGTATTACTACTGTACCAACCCAGAGTGGGAGAAAGAAGGCATTGAAGACGCATATCTTAAACAGCATGAAGCGAAGGGCGAAACTCCTGACCAAATCTTCAAAATTCGAGAAATGAAGATCACCATGTACTTGAATATCTCTATCTGTAGTCTAAAACTGAAAGATTTCAAAGCTAGCCTCTTCGCCTGAGAAGAGGCTCTAAAACTTGACATGAAAAATGTCAAAGGATATTTCCTCAGAGCCAGGAGCCGGATCCTTGACATCAACTCTGGTGTAGACGACCTAAAAATTGCCATTAAAGACCTCAAAGAGGGTCTGAAAATAGATCCAAGCAATAAACCTATCATCAAAGAGCTCCAAAAGATGATGAAATTAGTGAATATCCAGTCTAAATAAGGAAAAAGAGACTTACCTCTCCATGTTTGACAAGAAGAACAGTGTAGAAGAGTATGTCGAAAAGACTATAAAGGATGACCTAAAATCTGAAGAGAAGAATATCCAGAATCTGGACAAGCTAATGCCGCCCATTCAGAAGAAAGTCAAGGAAAAATTCGATAAGAAAGTGATGAAATTCATGAAAAATAAGGAACTTGAGTTCTCATTCGAGGTCAAGAAACAGAGAGATAAGTTCCGAGAAGTTGAAGAAATACGGGAAACTATTGAGAAAGGTGAAGAAGCCATTTCTCTCTATCTCAAAGCAGGCAAGATCGCTGAGGCCAAGCAGGTTAAAAAGTCCTTGCAACAAGCTAGATATGAGATAGAGATGCTTGATTGTGTACTAAATCTTGATTTCTCGAGACCGAGACCAAAAGCAAAAGAAATGGCACTTGAAATGGGCCTTGATCTTACAGACCCAGTAATTATTGAAGAATTCAAAAAGATGCAACAAAAGAGGCTAGAAGAAGTCAGACTTATTAAAGAAGGCAAGAAGAAGGAACTCACTGCTAAAAGAACTGAGGAGGCTGAGGATTATAATGATATTTTTAGAGAAAGCAACCGAGCTGCTTTAAGCAGTGACAATCCAACTGTTGCGGAAGAACAGAAGGAAGAAATTTCTCATGAAGAGTTAAAGGAAGAAATTGCAAATGAAAATGTAGAAAATGGACCTCGACAAATTCCTAAAAATAGAAAGATGGATGAGGAGGATGAAGAGAATGAATACAGCACATTTACCATTGCGATTGCAGCAGTTATCCTACTCTGGATTAGTTCTCTATTGTACCTCCTCGTATTTAGAGGATAATCCTCTAAGTATTTAATAAATCCAATCATGCAAATATTGAATGGGGTTTTGGGGTTTTGGGGTTTTGGGGTTTTGGGG